TTCGGACCTGATCCTCTTGCGAGTGCGAGCCAGCTGGTGCGAGCTAGCACCCTTATCCGAAGTTACGCCCCGCGTAGATCCGAAGTTCGGCCCCTATAAATACCCTGCGAGGGCTGCCGAGGAAATCACTAATTTCTTCATTCCTTTCTCTCTCTACTTTCTCTCACTACCCATTTTAACCCCCTAAACCCTAGGAAAAATCCCTAGCACCCTAAGGAAGCCCCGAGGCTCTCGGAGTCCCGAGAAAAAGGGTCTTTCGGTTCGGAAACGCTGCTTCGAGCAAAGCCCGGTTTTCTTTAAAATCCGTTGTAAGTGAGCTACGCCTACGCAATTTTTAATATAACTTTTAAATAATTATAGTAATGTTATTAGGTCCTTAAAATAGTTATTTGGGCTATTATTATGAGTTATATTGAGTGTTATTTAACGCTTATATAATAATAATAATAATAGCTAGACTATTAATTAGTCACGGTTAACGTTAAAACTAAACTCTATTGGTATTAATACTAGGTTTTGGTCAAGGAAAAATTGTTTTGAGATAACGAAGTGCTGTTCAAGTACCGAGTCACCACCTAATTAGGTGAGTGCATAGTTACTTTCATCTTACACATAGATATGAAGTATTTTATATAAATTACGTGCTATGTGTGCATATTATCTGAATACTTGCTGCCTATGCTGATGAAAGATTTTTATACATGTTTTAAATAATTTAAACTGTATATGTATTTTATATCTCCAAAAATGTTGGGGTAAAACATGGGTAGATGTAATAAGACGATGTGTGATAAAATGATGAGAGGCCTCGATGTTGTTGTTAATCCAGTCATCTAGCGGGGTATAGATGACGACCACAGACTCTTCTAGACAGTCCAGTGGAACGCTAGCAGGCTCGCAACCTGTAGATGTTTGTGAACGATGTGTTCACCGGTATACTCCATCCCCCTCATGGTTGCCTTTAGGACATTTATTGCTGAGGAACCCCCTTAGCAGTAGTGTCCATCCCGATGATGATCCTTAGGCTAGGTCCCTTATGATAGGTGTTTAGGGACGTAAAGTGAGGATAACGGGAAAGGGTAATCGGGTTATTGTTGGTTGATGAAATTAATAAACTTATTTATTGTGGGTTGAAAACCCTATGTGCTCACCAGGCTCCCAAGTCTGACCCACTCAGTTTCATGTATTACAGGTAGTGGCGCTCGAGCATAGATGTGATGTTTTGGATGAGGGATTACGGATATAGGCCTGTAGATATGAAATAATGTAGTAAGGCTTATGTTGTACTGTTTATGCTTTTGATCTGCATCGAACATGACATCCCGAGTCTTTTAATGAAATACATTTCCTTGGAAATGCTTTTGATAAATCTTTATCATATTTTGTTTTGGGACAAATTCCGCAACACTTTTATTTAAAATGTTACTCTGATTTTCAAACAAGCATAAACAAAATCGGTATTTTCTGGCCATGGAAAATGGGGATGTCACAATAATATTATGTAGTATGTGGTATGATCCGTTAGATCAGTTGTTGTCTATAGACTTTTATGTGATTATCTGTTATATGTGCACATGTTTGTTTGGCGATTGAGGCTTATCTGCTTTGTGCGAAAGCCAATAGACCTGGGCATTCCAACCTGTTGGTTGTGGGCCGTGAGTATTCCATCCCGAGGATGATTGGACTCATAGTATGTGGGCATTCCAACCTGTTGGTTGTGGGCCTGGAGTATTCCATCCCGACGATGATTGGACCCATAGTGCGTTGGCATTCCAACCGGATGGTTGAGGGCCTGGGGTATTCCAACTCGATGGTTGACTGGACCCATAGTATGTTGTTTATGATTATATGTGTATTATTGTGGGTATGGGTATTTTGGGGAACTCATTAAGCTTTCGGGCTTACAATTTCAGTTTATTGTTTCAGGTACATCAGGGGATCGCGGCAAAGCGAATGCATGATCGTACAGCTCCCCGTGATTTGTTTATGTTTCTGGGAAACTCTGATATTATACATTTTAAAAACAAAGTTGTAAGGATTCTTTTATGGTTTGAAATGTTTTAAAAGTTTTAAATTGACCTGATTTTTATGGGTGTTACATTTACAGTGTAATTCTCATAGACTGTAGTACTCGTCGATATGAAATCAAAGATATAACGAACGTCGAAAGCGAAGATCGTATGTGAAAGATATGCTTTTTTGAAGATTTTGAATTTTACCCGGAAGTGATGATGTGGCAGCACCAGAGTGCGCCACGTGGCAGAGGTGGCAACCGCTTCTCCCAACCGACTTGATGACGTGGCACCAAAAATGTCGACACATGGCCCACTGAGAAATAGACACGTGGTACCATAAAAATGCAACAAGTTGTAGCCAGATATGCAACTCTTCCTCCACAAGACAAGGCTACGTGGCGTAACTAGAGAAGGACACATCGATGAACGCGGTGCACCCTATGATTTTTTTATATATAGTTCCAAAATTTGGCTCATTTTCACTCATTTTCTTCCAAAAACTCTCTCAAACTTTCCCGAAACCACGAGGCCCGAATTTAGGAGTTTTCAAGTGTTGCAAATGTTTGGAGCATCAGAGAGTCCTGAGAAATAGAGCTTTCTGTTTTGAAGTTCTGCCCGCGCAGTTTTCTGTTTTTTTGCTAGAAAACTTGTAAGTTGAGTTATATTTACTATGCTTTTAATGTAACTTATATTTATGTTTATAATATTTCCTATGAACTTATAAATAAGATTTTTCAGTAATTCCAATCGGAATACTGATCGATCTACTTACGGGAGTGATGTCTAGGCTAGATCTGTGAGGTGTTTAAAGTGGAATTTCCAAACGATACATCTTTTCACCAAACAGATCCTACCTCCAGAGTGATCTTACCTGGTCATTCATTATCTGATAGAACTCAATATTTTATTGGGATTATTGAAGAATCTGATAACGATTAGTATAACTGTATAAATATGAACGAATATTGAAACATTGTAATATTCATATTTTAGGTCATTTAAAATGGAAAACTGAAGTGTCAATCAAGGAGCTGACTTGCTCGCGAGTCTTCCACCTTAATTAGGTGAGTGCATAGTCACTTTCATGAACATGATTTTAATAAAAGTATTTATTAGAAATATTAAATATATGTTGAAATTTTATATGTGAATTAAATGTTTATTATCTAGAATATGTGTTAAATGTTTATTTGATAACATACATTGTGTGAAACATATATGATCACACCAAAAGTCTTTTATCTTACCAAAAGTAAATTCAGATGTAGTGTGTCATGCTGACTGGGCACTATATGGGAAGGAATTTATACGAAGAGTTCCTAGTGACCCAGGAAAAATGTTAGAATATGCTAGATTGAGCAAATACGCGAGAAGAATCCTGGAAGATAAGTCCGAGAAATTTAAAAGATTCCTGGTAAAGCACATAGTTGCTGTTAAGGAACCTAGTAGAGATGCAAAAATCCTAGTGAGGTCTAGGGATATTTGTAGTATGTACTTGTTTAGACACATACGTATATGTTAAATTGCTTTGTGGTTATTATGTGTAGTGACTTGGGAACTACGAGCAATTCTTGGGACGAACATGAATATGTGTGAAAGGTAGTATATGCCTGTATTACCAGAAGCACATGATTCATACTTGGATCAAGAGGAGTCACAAGGTTACTAAGGCCACCGGTAGTTGAGTAGATGGTGTGGATAACACTACAAATTTGTTTTGTTCATTTCTGTCGTTACATTGCGGTGATGTTTATGAAAATGGTTTTTGGTTTAGGTGCTAGTGGCCATAAAGAATTGAGTCCGCGTAATATAAATATGTGTCAGTAAATTGATGCGATATAAGCAACCGGTTGTTGTCGTGAGATTTAAGAAGGTGGTGATCGAGATGATCAACATAAAAGTTGCAGCCTTTGTTGGGGTTGAGCAACCACACTTGTGTAAAAATAGTTTGGTCTTTGGACTTTTCCCTTTGGCTTTCGATTGGAATTAAAATTAAACGTTAGGTAGCACAAAATATAAATGTATAATTCTAAAATTTATATGGGGTATGTTATAAACAGAACGGATCGGTGATGATCCATACCCGATATTTTTAATAAAAGGATTAGCGGGTATAGGTCGTTAACCGGAAAACGAATAAAAAACAATACTCTAAACCCGTATAATTTCTAAGGGTTGGGATCGGATCAATATCAAAAAATGGCCCATTATTAGACCTACTTACTAGGAACAATGATGATATCAAACTATAAATAGGAAACAATGAAATCCACATGAAAGAGGTACTTGAACCTAATATTCATTTAATTCTAAAGTTTTTAGGTTATTTTTAATGAATTCCACATAAGCATATAGATTTCTTTCTTCGATTTAGTTTATTTGTACTGGTTGTTCTATCAATTGGGCAAAATGGAAAAATTAGTATAAACATAAAAACGTTAGCTTCTTTTTCTAGTAAAATAAACATCCTTATTACAGGAAGGTAACCTGAAAACGAAAAATTGGACAAAATAGGAAAAATTAGAAAAAATAATTGGTTTTAATTTGTATTTTTTTTTAAGTTTAAAAGTTTTAGGTCTTTTTGAAATTAATCATTTTTACAACAATGAAACTAAATTATAAATCGAATGCTTGAGCCTTTTTAAAACCATATAAGTAAAATAAACAATTACAAATCTTTACTATTATTTAATAAAACTTTCTGAAGTTCTAACACGATTAACCAACTAACTCAATGGTTGAAAACTGAAAAAAATTTCTGAATAATCAAACAAAATTGAAATTTAAATATTAAGATTCCTTAAATCCTTTTAAACGATCTAAAAAAATTAAGCATGGAATTTAATTATATTTTAATAGATTACTGATTAATTTTTGTTTATTAACTTTTACTTAGCGTCAAGAATTTGGCGCTATGCCTGGAGGCAACTAACGAACCTTGGCTATAAAGAAGCAATTTCAATTTCAATTTGTCGCTGGGGTTTTACCTTATCTTCTTCACACACCATTACACAAAAACCATAATTCTCTCTTTCAATGTCAAAACCCCAAATTTTTCAACACAAGAACCACCCAAAGTTAAACTGGAAGGAAATTCCTGGACTCCAACCTTTACCATGTGACTCTAATGACCTCCTTCAATGGCCTAAACATGGTGGCGGTGGCGGTGGCCGTCGACGTTCACGTGGCAGCGGTGGTGGTGGTTTTGCTAGCGTCTCAATGATGGAGAAGACGTTAGAGTTCGAACCTACCGCTGCACAGCTCTTTAAACACCCCCTGGCTATCGTCGCTTTGGTGCCTAAAGACGCCGCCGTGTTTGCCGCCGGTGCTGTCTCCGGTGCTGCTGCGAAAACAGTCACTGCGCCTCTTGACCGGATTAAACTCATAATGCAGGTGAAAATTTTCATTTTTTCGACCTAGTTTCGAAATTTTAATAGTATTTTAACAGTTTTGACTAATTGAAGTCGATGATTGGTGATAACTAATAGTTATACTTAATTTAAATTGTTCGTGGTGATGATGCTGACAATTTTCCTAACACGACTTTCTTCTATAGTTAAATAACTTAGTTATTCCTTTTGCTAGAAGACAACTATTAAAGAACTAAAGAAGCAAATTAATTGATGCTCTGTTACCAAATTCGCCATGAAAGTAAAATTGGGGCATGGAGACTTTCAATTTAGACCTAAATATGGAAATTAACAATTTTAGATTTTCACCATTTACCAATATATATTGTTTTCAGACTCATGGTCTAAGAGTTGGGCAAGAAAGTGCAAAGAAAGCAATTGGATTTATACAGGTATGTTTAATTATATATTTATCTTACATGTTGTATCATTATATGATGTTTAAAAAATGAATTGCAGGCTTTTGTAGCTGTAGGGAAGCAAGAAGGCATTAAAGGGTATTGGAAGGGTAACTTTGCTCAGGTGCTTATTTCTGTTATATTTCTCATTGAAATGTTAATATTGTCGCTAGTTTTATAAACATTTTGTTTAATTTTAATTGGTTCTTATTAAAATTTAAAATCAAAGGTAGCACGGGTCCTTCCTTATAGTGCAGTCCAACTATTCGCGTATGACACATACAAGGTATAAAAAAATTCAGTTATTTTATCCTTTTTGATATCTACATTCACTAATAAAAATAAAATAATTATGCATTTCAACTAAATCTAAATGTGCAGAAATTATTCCGAGGAACAGATGGTGAACTTTCTATTATTGGAAGATTAGCTGCAGGTGCTTGTGCTGGAATGACTTCAACTTTAGTAAGATTAGAACCATTTTTATTTTTTATTTTTATTTTTATTTTTATAAATTCTTGTACTTTCAAACTGTTTCTTATTAATTATAGAATTGTACTTTTAATTGTTAACATTGGATATTTGTATCAGGTGACATATCCATTAGATGTCCTCAGATTACGATTAGCCGTTGATCCCGGATATCAAACTATGACAGATGTAAGATATATCATATATATAATTTACTTGTGCCAAGTTTTTGAAGTTGGGTATTATCGTAATTTCAGGTTTTTGTAAAGATGCTAAAAGAGGAAGGAGTTGGATCGTTCTATCGGGGTCTTGGACCTTCCCTTATCGGAATAGCACCATACGTTGCGGTCAACTTTTGCGTCTTTGACTTGTGAGCTTCCTATCCTGTTCTATTCTGTCCTGTCCTGTCATGTACTTGTCCTGTCCTGTACTGTTCTGTTTTGTACTGTAAATGTAAATGTAAATGTATTTGATGATGTCAGGGTAAAAAAGTCTTTGCCGGAGAAGTTTCGAAACAAAGCTGAAGCATCGATAATGACGGCTTTCATGGCAGCTACCATTGCGACACTTACATGCTACCCATTGGATACTATTAGAAGACAAATGCAAATGAGGGGTACACCTTACAAGAATATATTAGATGCGTGTTCAGGTATTATATATTTTCTTACAAGATTATATTTTTTGTTGACGTGGCGCTGATGTGGATATTATTTGTTTAGGAATTATCGCTCGTGATGGTGTAGTTGGATTATACCGGGGTTTTGTTCCCAATGCTTTGAAAACTTTACCAAACAGCAGGTTGACTTGATAGTTTCTCTATAAATATGGATTTTTATTAGTTTTTTTTTAAATAAAGAATGAGTTAATATTTTCTTACATGTTGCAGCATTAAGCTCACTACATTTGATGCAATGAAGCGCGTGATCTCAGCAAGTGAGAAGGAATTTCAAAGAATCTTGGATGAGAACCGCAACGAACAAAAACAAAGCACCAATGATTCCACATTCTAGATTTGTTTATTTGATTTTTTTGAGGTATTTGTTAATTGATTATCACGGAATTTATTGATTAGTTTTTGCTTATCAACAATTATCATATGATTTTGTTGAGATTGGTTCATGTCCACAACCTTCCTCAATTTTGTATTATTAAGAGGTTTTTGTAGTTATTTGATTATTACAAAAAAGAAGTTTGGTAAACTATGTGCAAGTCAAATATCTCATTTTGTCATTGTTGAAATATTTAAAGAATGGCCAACTTTCTTTTCATGTGATGATGTTCACAAGAGCTACCTTATGTGCCCCGTTATAAAAAATAAGGTTAATGACATTTATAGCCACAAGTATTGTCGTTTTGTTATTTAAATCCCTAATTGTTTAATCGTCGAGAAAAAAAAAACAAAAAGAACTAAAGTTATTAAGCTTTTACCAAAATTTAAGTAAAACTTAAGATTTTCCAAAAATGTGTGAGATGGGCATGGGCCTGCAAAATCACAAAACGACATATCGAAGAAAAAAAAACTAGATCTCCCATCCCAAATTTGACCTGCGAAAATGCACGTTTTTTTATTGCGAAAATGCAGAATTTATCTGCGAATTAAAAAAAAACATTATTTAAAATTTTTGTATGATAGAAATCTTTATAGATCATTTCCATAGCAAAAAAAACTTTTATATTGTAATTAGAGTAAGTTACACGGATGGTCCCTATGGTTTGGGTGATATGTGCTTTTTTTTTTTTTTTTTTTTTTTTAATTCGGACAGTTCCTAAAATGTATTTTTTTTCGAATTTGGTCCCTACTAGACCTAAAAAGACTATATTACCCTTCATTATTTATTTTTTGTTTATTTATTTTTTACATCTTATTTTCTAATAAGATTATTTATGATTTATTGTTTATTTCTTATTTTGTTTAATAAATAAGATCCAAGTAAAAGAAATTAAAAATCACCATCACATTTCTCCGCTCAACTAAACCCTCCCCTTGTTGTCTAATTCCTTTCATGTTCAGCTACTCCGACGGACATCCCTTTCATCTTCTCCGATAAAGAAATACAGTCGAATACAACTCATATTTCTTGCTTAAAACTGAATAAAAACCGAATCCACAACAAACCAAATGTTTTATGATATTGGCAGTTTGCTGCTAGAGAAGGGAGACAAACTCACTACTAATTCGATTCAACTGGAGAAGACGTAGTAATAGATTTCGTTTGCAAGTGTCATGGAAGGTATGAGAAGGGATAAGCGTGGTGGGGGATGTTGTCTGCAGCCATTTCTGGCGATGTATTGGGTGCCGGCGATTTCTCGACGAGTCTGATGAGGGTGATATAGATACGAGATCTGCACTGGAAAGCCATCGATCTACAATATCAGGTGTCTGCTCTATCGATCTTCAACATCAACGATTAATCAGCACCATCAACAATTGATCCGGTGGAGATCTGAAGAGGGAGAGTGCCGACGATTTCTCATCACCAGAAAGAGGCACTGGCTATAGAGTTTCTTGATTTAGGGCTCAACGAGAGCTTGGAACACGGACGACCATTGATTGAGGTGTGTGTGTGTGTATGAGAGAGAAACGTGACAGAGACTGTGGTTTTATCAACGACGCCGGTGGTGCTTCACCAAGAATCGTTAGTGGTTTTGATACGGACCCATCCCATACTAGGCCCGCATCACGCCATAAACCCAAGTGTAGAACTCACTCCCAAAAGCCAGCTTGTAGGAGGAGGGGACACCTAGACTTATAAGCCACCAACTTATAGTACTTTCGGCCGATGTGAGATCATTAACAATACCCCACGCTTTGAAGAGCCAACGTCCTCGTTGGTCACGGTTGGCACCCCCTTTTTGGTCCAAGCCACCACTCCGAGTCATTGTTGGTCACGGCTACGTTGGTCACGGTTGGCACCCCTCTTTTTGGGTCCAAGCCACCACTCCAAGTGTTGGCACCTCGAAAGATGGGGTCGGCTCTGATACCAATTGATACGGACCCATCCCATACTAGGCCCGCATCATGTCATAAGCCCAAGTGTAGAACTCACTCCCAAAAGCCAGCTTTTAGGAGGAGGAGACACCTAAACCTATAAGTCACCAACTTATAGTACTTTCGGCCGATGTGGGATCATAACAGGTTTTCTTTGTGGAACGGTGATGAGATCAAGGGAATCGGGAGAAGCATCGAACGTAGTTGGATATTTCTTGATATTAGGCTGTGTTTATATGATTTTTTATTTTATTTTTATTTTATATTATAATATAATAATGGATAATATATATAAAAAAATATAATAAGAGTAATATGGTAATTTTATGTCTGATAGGGACCCAACGCGCAACAAAATTACATGTAAGGGACCGTCCGAGTTAAGAAAAAAAATAAAGACCAAACACGAAGATTATCCCAAACCATATGGTCCATTCGCGTAATTTTCTCTTGTCATTATGAGCTTCAAAAATAGCAAAAGAAAATATTAAAAAACTATCGGGAATTCTCAAGTTTTATATGCAGAATTCTCTACAAAAATACAAAAATCATAGGTTTTTACTCTTAAAAATGTTCTTTTGAAATTTTTTTTGTGATAAGAATATTAAAAGCCATTTTCATAAAAAATGGAGTTTTAAATGTTAAAATGTAGTTATAAAAAAAAACGTTTCCTTTAAAAAATGATGAAAAAATAAAGAAAAGTGATAATATAAGGACACAACTCTTGTTCATTTCACAACCAATTAACCTAATTTCACAATCTACTTAGCGATTTCTCTTGGGTCACTAAGCAATTTCGCAGCCCGTTTAGCGATTTGTCATTATTTATCAACAAAATTGATGGCTAAAATGGGTACTCCTTTAATTTTTGCTTAAATCTTGGAAAAAACAAAATGAAATTTGATAATTTTTGTCATTTTCTCTTAACCGTATACGTAGGTAAAAAAAGATTGATGTTATAAAATGACAATTTATAGTACAATTTGCACTTAAAAGATTGATGTCATAAAATGACAATTTATAGTATACAATTTGCACTCTAAGGCAACTTATATTTTAATTGTATTATGGTCGCAAAACTTTTTTTTTGCTCTCGATACACCATTTTGTTGGAAATCAACCGGATAAATTGGTTATGAATATGTTGTGTCTATTGTTGTATTTATTATGACATAATTTGTTCATTTAGGTATATCAGATGACATTTTGTCCATTATGACATTTGACATAAAAGAATTGTCTTATTAAAATACACTCTAATGGTGGTGTAATGAGAACCCAAAAAAATGTTTAGTGACATAATAAAATTAAAAAATGAGTAACATACAGAGCAAATGTGTTACTATTAAATGATAAGTGACCTAAAGAGAAAATTAGGTGTTATTGGTTGTCATTTATGGTATTAACCGATAAAAACATATAATGTTATTTTTCATGTTTACAATCAACCCTTAATTTAATTGGATAGACTACTAATAAACATAATGTTGCATCTTAAGTGGTAAAATATATGATGTTGCATACTACATGACAAAATGTACTCACACTATCTTCATGTGATGTTGTCATGACAAGAGCATAAGTTGTCTAGAGTTTTGAGACAACTTAAAGGCTCCTGGTATTCCCTTTATCAACCGACTTGCTTCATCTTTCCCCCAACGCGCCATAAAGATCTCCCATGCTTTGGATTGAGGTTGTTTGGATGTGGGGTTTTTAAGTGTTATTGCGATTTGAAGAATCAAAAATGGGTTCAAATAATGTAAAATTCCATAGTACGTAATTCTCATTATCAAAAAGAAAAAGGCAAAGCCTTAAATACAAAGCAATGGGAAAACAAACTATTCTACAAAACATGAAACTAAATCAATCGAGAGAAGATAAGTAACATCTTTTAAATCTAATACTCCCCCTCAAGCTGGAGCATGTAAATTACGAGTGCCCAGCTTGCCAAGTAAAAAACACAATTATTCAGTGCCCAAACCTTTTGTGAAAAGATCAGCTATTTGCATAGCGTAAGTGATAGGAAGAGCTTCAGTTTCCTTTGACTATACTCTTTCTCGGACAAAGAAACAATCTATTTCAACATGTTTGGTTTTTTCATGAAACATCAAATTGTTAGCGATGTGACGAGCAGCTTGATTATCACAATACAAATGAGTGGGCTTAGTTGAGGAAACGTCTAACTCAGCTAAAAGCCATCTGACCCAGAGAATTTTGCTGACAGTGGATGCCATTGACCTATATTCCGCTTCGGCAGACGAACAGGACACAACAGATTGTTTCTTGGTTTTCCAGGAAATGGGTGCACCTCCAAGAAGAATTAGGTACTCAGTCGTGGAATTTCGAGTGTAGGGGCATCCAAGCTAATCTGAGTCACAATACGCCAAGAGAGTGCATCTTCCTTCACGTAGAAAAAGAACTCTTTGTCCTGTAGTTCCCTTTAAATAACGAAGAACCCTATGAGCAGCATCCAGGTGGGGTTGACGAGGATTAGCAACAAACTGGATCAAAACATTCACAGAGTATGTAATATCTATTCGGGTGGCTTGCAAGTTGAGTAACTGTCCAACTATGCGGCAGTAACGACTAGCATCAACCTTTGGATCCTTTTTAGCTTTGTCAAGTTTCAGATTTTGTTCGATAGGAAAAGGACTTGGTTTACATCCTTGTATTCCATAATCTTCAAGGATTGCAAGAATGTATTTTTGTCGATTTAGAACCATTCCTTCAAGGGTGCGAGCAACTTCGATCCCATGGAAATACTTGAGATTTCCTAGGTCTTTAATGCTGAACTTGTGGTCTAAATCATCTTTGGTAGCTTGCATTATCAGGTTGTCATTTTCGACAAGAACCACATCATCGACGTAAATGAGGGCAACAACGATATTACTGCCTTGTTTGTGAATGAAAAGGGAATAGTCAGCTCGTGAATGTTTAAAAACGAGGCTGGTCAGGGCGTTGGTGAACTTTTGGTACCAATTACAAGAAGCTTGCTTTAAGCCGTACAACGACTTTCGTAGGCGACAAACTCTAGTTTCTCCTTCCTTTTCAAAACCTTGAGGAATTTTCATGTAGATTTCTTCATTTAAGTCACCATATAGGAAGGATTTGTTGACGTCGAGTTGGTGGATGGCCTAATTCCTCTTTACTGCTACAACTA